AGTGAAGATTTTTTTTTTAACGAAACTACGAGCTGGAAAAAAGTATCGATCGAGTAGCTAACTTTAGGATCGTCAGATGTAATGTGACATGACGTTCACACTGCAGTCACTTTGAAAACATCAGATATATATCCGATTTAAAACCACATACTGAAACGGCCTGGGTCGGATTTGAAAAAATTGGATTTGTCTCGTTCAGACTGTCATAAAAAAATCTGATATGAGTCAGACGGGTCAAAAAAATCGGATTTGGGTCGGATTTGCCTGCAGTGTGAACGTAGCCTAAGATTTTAAAACTTGGTGAGATGGACAGTTTTTGCAGTGTAGACGACACCAGTAAAAACTTCACCCTATTTAACAATTCCACTCGCTTTCCAAGTCTGTCGAAGACCTTGATCCTCCTGCCAAAAGTTTCACCTGAACTTTCCTGTGATTCCTGAATTGAAATTTGCTGTAGAAATGTATTTTTTGTGGTATTAACACTGAATCTCTGCATAATCCGGGCCGATTGTTCGATCAATTGAGAGAGGAGCAGAGAAATGAGCATGAAATCATGAGTGAAGGTCTCTGAACCAAGATTTTCTTGTTTACATATTAGTCATCTTAACCCAATTTGTAGGTAGAAATACTTAATCCAGTATTGACAAAAACTGATGAGACAATCCTGCTGAGTTAAACCTCAGGGTTGTATAACCCAGAAAAAACATTAAAACCATTACATTTGACTGAATTGACAAGCTAACAGCTAGTCCAAATGGGGCCAGGACAAAAGTGAATAGCTGCTGTTTTAAAATAACTCTTGTATGTTTATGTGAATTCTACTTTTTAACTTTCATTTAAATTACAAAATTAACCATGAATTATACGTATGTGTGTTGCCTAAGTGTAACTGTGGCCCTTGCAGTGAAGCTTGGAGCTCTATCAGGATCATTCTGCCAAAAATAATTGGGGTTAATTTAAAATAGCAGTAATCCACTTGGGTCTTAGCCCCACAGTTAGCTTGTTATCATTGGCTGAACTGAACTGACATGAACTTTGTCAAAACTAAACCGTATTTCTTCAAATTGAGACTGTTCAGAAATGTATCTACAATAGATAAGATATTAATTGTTCAAAACTTTTCCACAATATTTCTAAAGATTTAAACTAACTCTTTCACATCAAAATATAGCCATGATGATCATTATACTGGTTTTAAAACATAACGAACAAAAGCTGAATCTTTTTTTTGTTTAGTACATCATCAAAAAGTTGCAGTAATGTAAATATTTTGCTAGGACATTTGTCCCGATATAAACCTCATGTTGCAGTATAGGAAGTTATAATATACATTTTTTGAGTCCAACCTGCATCTGGCATGAAGAGGCTGGAGGATTTATATTGAAGTGTAAAAACAAAGCTCAGCTAAAACAGTCTTTTAAAAGTATGTTCATGGTTGAATGATTTGCTCATTTAAGGTTTTGAACACGTTCCTTCACACTTTCCAGCATTCTTCCTCCAGAACAGACCAGACATGCAAACTGAACACGATTATTTGTTCAATTTTGTGCTTTTGTCTCTGTATAAACACAGACGTCTCCCTGTAGGTTCGAGGAGGATTCGGTGTCTCCAGTCTCAGACGTGGGCACTTTTGGCATGGTTGTTGGACGAGGAGGCAGCAGGCAGGTTGCCACCTCCTTGCTTGGAGTAGTAAAAGTGGTTGTTGTCCTGGTAGGAGCGAGAGGAAGGGGAGGAGGAATCTGATGAGCAGACGACCATCAGCCCACCAACCAGGCAAAAAACCGTGCCCACCCATCCGGTGTAAAGGGAGTATCCAAACGCCATGAGGCCGTGCTCCCGATTGGCGCCGATGGGGAACCAGATGGTGCACACCATGGCACACATCGCTAAGGAGAGAGACGGGTACAAGTTGAGTAAAACAGGGCTGCTTATCAGAATAAACACAAAAATCTTGTCTTGAAAAACAAATGCATGCATAATTAAAGGTCTAACGCAGGGCTATTCAACTGGCGGCCCACATCTGGCCCACGAGTGACCAAAGTTGGGCCAGCCAATTGGTTTATTCATCTCTTAAGCACAAACCCCCAGTTTTCTACTTTAATTACTCTAAGTTATTTTAGTTAGACATAGACATGTTTGGTGTCTACAGAAATGTCAGAATCTTGGCTAGAAGCTGGTAAAAACCATTTCTATGCATATTCAAGACAGTTAAAATTACAAGCCGTTGAAGATAAAACTATGAAAGTGAAAATAAAATAGGTTTAAAAATTTGACAAGTCGGAAATGTCAAAGGAATATTTGTGTTAAATATGAGGCAGAACGTGTTTTTTATATTGCTTAAATATCACTACTTTTATAGGGTTCTGTATGTTGTATTCATGATTAAATGCAGCAAAATAAACTATTTCAAAAGTAGCAGATCTTTGTAATACTTGGTTTATTTACATAATAACTTTAATTGCTGGATGTCCAGCCCCTCAGCTGTTGATCTGCAGTAACTGTGGCCCCCCCCCGGAGCGATTTAGTTGAATAGTCCTGATCTAACGTTGCTTGAACGAATGCAAATTGCCCGCCACCTTTCATGTTAGAAACTAAAATAAGGCTGAGATCATCTTATGATGAGAAGAGAGAGAGAGTTAAAGCCATTTAGGTCCAGTTTGGTCAAATAAATTATGCACATTTTAATGCAACCTCCTACAAACTGTGTTAGCTCTTTATGAAGCTACACTCACAGCAAATTTTGACTCAAGTTACACAGCAACCATTTTTGTTATTTGGTTACTTTGAAAAGCTAGCCAGGTGTAGATTCTAATGATTACTTTTTTTGCCACTTCAGTAGAAAGCAGAACTGAATATCTGAATATGAGTATCTTAGCTTCTTCATCATCAGTGGCTTTTTTTAATAGGAGAAAAATAAAGAGAAAGAAAAAAGTGAAATGTAATGAGAAAGAGTGAAAGAGAGATTAGAAGATATGTGAAATATATGTTGATAAAACACAAGAGAGCACACCCGACATCTTGACTCCACACCTACAAAAACAAAGTTAACAAAACCACAGCAACAAAGATGCATATCTATATAATTATAATGACTGTAGCCTTGCTGAAAACCATATCCATTACGTTACAGCGGGTAAAATAAGTATTGAACACGTCACCATTTTTCTCAGTAAGTATATTACTAGAGGTGCTAATGACATGAAATTTTCACCAGATGTCGGTAACAACCCAAGTGATCCATACATACAAAGAAATCAAACCATAAAT